TTCACCTTGTTAGCCAGGATGGTCTCGATTTCCTGACCTTGTGATCCGCCCGCCTCAGCCTGTCAAAGTGCTGGGATTACAGGCGTGAGCCACTGCGCCCGGCCCATTTTTATGGTTATTTCTTGATATGCTAAGCAAGGGGTGGATTATTCATGTCTCTTGTTATTAGACCATACACAGTAACTTCCTGACACTACCATGGCACTGGTAAACTGTCATGGCACTGGTAGGAGTGTGGCAGTGAGGACGACCAGAGGTTGCTCTAGTGGCCACGTTGGTTTTGGTGGGTTTTAGTTGGCTTCTGTACTGCAGCCTGTTTTATCAGCAAGGTCTTTATGACCTGTATCTTGTACCACCTGTCTTATCCTGTGACTTAGAATGTCTTAACCCTCTGGGAACGCAGCCCAGTAGGTCTCAGCCTCATTTTACCCAGCTCCTGTTCTAGATAGAATTGCTCTGGTTCATGCACCTCTGACACCAGCATTTTGGGAGGCCAAGGCAGGCAGATCACTTGAGGTCAGGCATTCGAGACCAGCCTGGCCAACATGTTAAAACCCCATCTCTACTAAAAATACGGAAGTTAGCTGGGCATTTGTGGCATCCGCCCGTAATCCCAGCTACTCAGGAGGCTGAGGCTAGAGAATCTCTTGAACCCAGGAGGCAGAGGTTGCAGTCAGCCAAGATGGTGCCACTGCACTCCAGCCTGGGTGACAGAACGAGACTCTGTCTCAGAAGAAAAAAAGAGGCCGGGCACGGTGGCTCGCACCTGTAATCCCAGCACTTTGGGAGGCCGAGGCAGGTGGATCACAGAGTCAGGAGTTCGAAACCAGCCTGGCCAATATGGTGAAACCACGTCTCTACTGAAAATACAAAAATTAGCCGGGCTTGGTGGCTGGCGCCTGTAGTCCCAGCTACTCGGGAGGCTGAGGCGGGAGAATCGATTGAACCCAGGAGGCAGAGGTTGCAGTGAGCCAAGATCATGCCACTGCACTCCAGCCTGGGCGACAGAGGGAGACTCAGTCTCAATAAATAAATAAATAAATAAAATAAAGAAAGAAAAGAAAAAGATGTTGCTAAGGCTGGCCTCAAACTCCTGAGCTCAAGCAATCTGCCTACCTCAGCCTCCCAAAGTGCTAGGGCCACCGCACCCAGCCGTTGTTTTGTATATTAGGTTTCTTTTTTTTTTTTGGTCCAGTGGCTCACGGCTGTGATCCCAACACTGGGAGGCAGAGGTGGGAGGATCGCTTCAGCCCAGGAGTTACAGACCAGCCTTGGCAACAGAGTGAGACTCCGTCTCTACAAAAAAAATTTTTTTTAATTAGCCAGACATGGCAGTGGCCCTCGCTTGTGTTCCCAGCTACTTGGAAGGCAGAGGAGGGAGGATCGCTTGAGCCTAGGAGTTCCAGGCTGCAGTGAGCCGAGATCATGCCACTGCACTCCACCCTGGGTGACAGAGACAGACCAGCCTGGGACAGACAGACTCAGCACTTTGGGAGGCCGAGGCGGGCGGATTGCCTGATACCGTTCTGTCAATCCAGCTGCTTCAGGATGTTGCCTTGGTCAGACAATGCTGTGTGGAATACCATGAGGGTGCATTCTGTGAGTTCACAGATGGTAGTCTTGGCAGAAGCATTGTGTGCCGGATAGGCAAACCCATATTCGGAGTAAGTGTCTATTCCAGTGAGGACAAACCTCTGACCTTTCCATGATGGAAGAGGTCAAATATAATCAACCTGTCACCAGGTAGCTGGTTGATCACCCCAAGGAATGGTGCCATATTGAGAGCTGAGTGTTGGTCTCTGCTGCCGGCAAATTGGGCACTCAGCAGTGGCCGTAGCCAGGTCAGCCTTGGTGAGTGGAAGTCCAGGTTGCTGAGCCCATGTGTAGCCTCCATCCCTGCCACCATGGCCACTTTGTTCATGGGCCCATTGGGCGATGACAGGGGTGGTTGGGGGAAAAGGTTGAGTGGTGTCCACAGAACAGGTCATCCTATCTACTTGATTATTAAAATCCTTCTCTGCTGAGGTCACCCAATGGTGAGCACTCACATGGGTTACAAATAGTTTCACAGTTTTTGACCACTCAGAGAGGTCCATCCACATACTTCTTCCACATATTTCTTTGTCACCAATTTTCCAATTATGCTTCTTCCAAGTCTCTGACCATCCAGCCAAACCATTGGCTACAGCCCATGAATCAGTATATAATCCCACATCTGGCCATTTCTCCTTCCATTTGAAGTTCACAACTAGGTGCACTGCTCAAAGTTCTGCCCACTGGGAAGATTTCCCTTCACTGCTGTCCTTCAGGGATGTCCTAGGAAGGGGCTGTAGCGCTGCAGCTGTCCACTTTTGGGTGGTGCCTGCATATCGTGCAGAACCATCTGTCTTCTGCACAGGCCAAATGGGAGAGTTGAACAGGGATGTGGTGGGAATCACCACCCCTGCGTCTTTCAAGTCCTTGATGGTGGCATTAATCTCTGCAGTCCCTCCAGGGATGTGATATTGTTTCTGATTTACTGTTTGTCTAGGTAGAGGCAGCTCTAATGGCTTCCATTTGGCCTTTCCCAGAATAATAGCCCTCACCCTACCAGTCAGGGAGCCAATGTGGGGGTTCTGTCAGGTGCTAAGTATGTCTACGCCAATTATGCATTCTAGCACTGGAGAAAGGACCACAGAATGAGTCTAGGGACCCACCGGAACCACTGGAAGTCAGACCTGAGCAAAAACTCCATTAATTACCTGACCTCCATAAGCCCCTACTTTAACTGGAAGACCAAAATGACGTTTATAGTCCCCTGGAATCAGTGTCAGCTCAGAGCCAGTGTCCAGTAGTCCCTGAAATGTCTGATCATTT